GCTTCCCAATAGGCAATGTCTAAAGAGAGAGAGCATATCGACAGCCAGTGCTGAGAAAAAGAAGGCACTAAGGCACAGAAGGACCGCTTCTATCTGTTCATACGAACAGTGGTTCTCCGTTTTTATTTTATACACATGGTTTTCAATTAGGACAATGGATAACTTGACTTTTGTGACTATTGTATGTGTGATTTGCATACAACTCCCTGTTAAGGTATCAAGTGCACAGAATTGAGGAGGAATACCAATATTTGGTTGTGGGACGTGCCCACTCTCCTTGGCATCGTGTTAGAAAAACATCAGTGATGGAAAGACTCCCAAGAAGTGTGCATCCCAATACACCCAGTTATACCAGTTGTTATTTGCTGCGCAGTAGATCCTATCTAAGCATCTACGTTTTTCATCTTGATACTGTTTTGTTCTCTCCTCATTTCCCTGAAACGGCCAAAATCTCATCACAGACTGCCATTTGTAACTTTATCTACTCTGAGAGCAGGAACTGCGTATTCCCTTACCAGCACGTAGCTCTCTAGTGTGTTTCAAGTGAATAACAGACTAATACAAAGCATGAATCAGCAATCCTGTGACCAGCAGGGTAGATTAGTTTTAAGACACTTATGTAGGATTCTCCTCGAATAGTAGATGACTGTGAACAGTGGTCCAGTGGTACAAGGGGCTCTTGTGTGAACGCTCCCATTCAGCTCTGTCTGCTTTAAAGCAGACTCTGCAATCAGCTCTAAATGAAGCTTCTTTGTGGCAGGGGCCAACTTGGTCTCAGAAATTCCACCCAAGGATCTATGTGCTTCGTTCTACATTTGTGTCAACCACGTAGTACATGGAGTATGGCAGTGCTTGCCTGTGTGAGATTAGCCAGTTAGGGGACAGAGAGGCTGCCTGAGGGTAGAGGGGCCTCCCAGAGAAAGATGATTGCAGCTGGAAGGCTTTCTGCAGTAAGAGCTGTGTGCACAATCCTGTGGCTTGCGAGGGAGGCACTTCTTCCTCCTGCTGCAGGCTGGAATTCTGTATTTAGAACCTTGTTGGGTGGCTGCCTGTGGAACAGGGTTGTTATCTGCTGCAGGTCCTTCATCAGTGCACAAAGATGGTGCATGCTTATGTTGAGAGGAAGCTTGTTTTCTTCTTTTTAATTTTTTTAACAGAAATTCTTCTTGTCTTTTTAATATCTTGAACAGATTTGTATTTCCTCTGAGATAACTTGGTGTCCTTTGCCTGGGTCACTTAGAATGAGTCATAGCCCTAAGATTTTCAGGGCCTGGAAGCCTGTATGTCATCTTGAAGCATTTAAAAATTAAAAAGGTAGCTAGCTATATAATCACTAAATTATGTTTCATCCTCCACCATCAACAAACACACATAAAGTGATGGCTTTTATATGATCGAAAATTGGCAAATTATCAGAGATGGCTGAATTTGATCAGTATCGGTACAATTTTAGAATATATTACCGAGGTGATGAATTCCATTTCAAAATAAAATAATTTTTTATATTTTAAGAAATTTTCCTAGTATATTCCAAACTCTCTATTGAAGATAAAGTTAAGAAATATAGCATATTTAACACGTGCTCATTAAATTCACACGGAGCTGAAAGTTTTTGACTTTTTGAAACAGTAATTTTGTTAGCTTTTTTTGTTTGTTTTGTTTTTTTCTTTTCAAGGCACGGTTTCACTGCTTTGGAGCCTGTCCTGGAACTAACTTTGCAGACCAGGCTGGCCTTGAACTCACAGAGATCTGCCTGCCTCTTCCTCCTGAGTGCTGGGATTGAAGGCGTGCACCACCACTGCTCAACTTTGTTAGCTCTTTGACACAGATGCTTTTTGTGATTCAGTCTAGTGTTCAATGCTTTAAAATCAGTGTCATGAGTCTTGTGCGTTGTGTCTAAACCCACATGGGTACACAGTTAAGAACAATGTCAGAAAAATCAAATACCCCTTAACCTTGGTGTGAACTGTTGGGAAGACTGCACTGAGAACCTGAGCGCACTTCTGGGACTGTAGATGTTGGTGTGGTGAGAAGGGAACAGATAAGCTCAGCCCTGCTGGAAGTGCAGTAGTGCTACGCAGGAATCTACTGTCCTCAAGGTAGCTGAGAGGAGGGAGCTGCCCTGGTAGCTTGCAGTCCCATGCCCTGGGATGCAGTTGCCTTTTGTCTCAAAGATCTAAGACAGGAGATGCAAAGAATCTCTTATTGGGGCCAGTTGTAACACCCAATTCTGTGTTACCCTTCTCGGTATGGGTCGCGCCCCTCCGTACCTTATGCGAGTTTGGGCAGAGGCCTGGAGATTGAACAAAGACACGAGACCAGAGTCATTCGACAAGAGATCACCGAATGCCACTTTATTCAGCTTAATGCCAAGCTAATATACCTTGGCCCCAGTAAAGGAATTCCCTCCCAGGCAGAGGGGAAACTGGCTCCATATGGGACCTGGCGCCATAGGGACTCCTTCTCAGGCAGGGGGTTGAGAGCAGCGACAGCAGCGGAAAGAGAACTTGGCACTGTGTAGGAATTCTCCCGGGCAGGTGGGAAATTACCATACCAAAGATGAACGATGCCCTACAGCTAAATCACCAGGCTATGGCAGAGTGAGCACAGGAGCAAAGAGGATGCTAGCTGGGTGACCAGAAGCGTCCTAGAAATTCACCCCAAGGAGGAAGGAGAGACGGGCCCTACAGCCAGTTATTAATAGAAGGTTGTATAATGTAAGGTGTATGAGTATGAGCTCTCAATAAGACATGTGTTCATGTGTCCATTAAAATATCTGTGTGTATGTGTTTGCAATTTGCAAGTTTCCTAAAGCACTGCCCAAGAGCAGAGCCTTGTCCTGCCCAGCTCTCAGGGAACTGTGATCCTAGGCCATGGAGGGAGACTAAAGAGATGGTTTTTCTAACTAAGCTCTTATTTCAGGAAATAGAGGAGGGTGCTCCATGCTTTTCTCTCAGCTAACACAAACAAGCCTGGCCTGCTGGCTTGTCATGGTAATCTGAAGTGCTGTTCTGCTTGCTGCCTGTTGATTTTTAGGGCTGCAGAAGACAGAATGAGGTTTTTCATCCGTTTAATCAGTCAATAAGTATTTGTCAAGCATCCTGTTGTCCAGATGTTATTCGTGATCTCACGATGCGGAGGACACAGACTTGAAAATGTATGATAATATTGTGATTATTGTAATATTGTGTATGTAGGTTTGCTTACAAGTGCCACTGGAACATCAGGAAAGAAAAGCAGTCCATGCCAGGGCTGGGCAGCTTGGTAAGGCTTCATCGGTGGTAGAATAAGGCCAGCTCCTATAAACTGCTAAGTGCCCCTCCACTCCAGACCTGTCTATCTGGTCGTGTTTACTTCCCACAGGTGCCTCCGGAAGCCATTGTGCTCGCCGCACACTACCAAAGGAAACAGCCAGGGATCAGAAAGGCTAATAAGCTACTATGTTCAAGGTCACATAGACAGCAAATGATAGAGCCAGAGTTGCAGTTCCCAGCCACTCCTGACTCCAGGGGATGGACTTGGCACTGTGTTCTGATGTTTGATATGTACGAACTTCACTGGAGAACACGGGAGGTAAGGAGCATCCGGGCAAAAGCTGCAGCAATTGATCTTAAAGGTCTTCCTTACGTATTTACACAAGTGAGAAGCACACTGGGAAGTATGCTCACCAGGATGAGGTCACAGAAGAGGTGAAGCAAAAGCGCCCTGACTGGTGTGCGTGGGGCTCTGTGAACAACTCTTGGCTGTTATTAGTCATTTCTAACAAGCCTAACTTCTTGGTCAGTATGAGGATTCCCCTCAGCGTTCTTACTCTCCAGCAAGTGTTGGAGGGAGTACGGAGGAGGTCTGAGTGACCTTTTAGTGGGTGCTTCTGAAGTTCCCTCTATGACCTCCTTTCCCTTTTTGGGAAGCAGGGACAGTGCTGGGAACTGAACCGAAAGCCATGCGCATGCTAGGCAAGCAGTCTCTCACTGAGCTACACCTCGGTCTCAGTGCTTTTCTGAGCCAATTTAATCTTAGGATCGGTCTTCCAGATTTCCCCAGCAGCCAGTGTTCTAGGAGAGCAAGATTCTGTCCAGTCTGGAAGATCCCGTGAGTTCACACGGTAATGCTTCAGCCTGATTAGAAGTAAGGCATTCACCAAAGACAAAACTATCTGATTCTCCTCCGCCAGTTTGTCCTCTGTTCTTAGGCGTTGTCCAGGTCATATCTCCCGAGCCATTTCCCCTAGGAATTAGGTAGGAATTGCACACACATTTGCACTGCTCCAGCCTGTTGCGCGCCGACTTGTTCCAGTTGGCCTGCATTGTTTGTTTTTGAAGATCTTCTGCGGTGCACATAGAACCACCAGCGGATTAACTTCAGCATCTGTGGGTAAATCAGCACAAGGCCTTCCCTGAGTTCCTCCAGGCCCTGGCACATGATGGTGCTCTGCGCTGGAACGAAAGCGTGAAGCCCGGGCGCGCAGCCAGTCCGGTGTTGGCCGACTTGACCAAAACTCTCCCGGTCCGGCCCGGGTCACCCCTTGGAGCTGGCGCCGGGGGCGTGGCTGGCGCGGGGCATGCCGGGCGGGCAGG